TGTGACAACGAAAAAACTGCATGTAAAATTGAAATTTCGGTAACAAAGTACAGATATTTCGATAACAAACGTAGATATGCGTTTTGTGAGCATATATATTTCGTATATAGACGCACAGGAAACACGTTAATTTCAAAAGAGAAGAGAATCAGACCAAAGTAAACATAAAATTAGCAAAGCAACAGCTTTGTGTTTGGCGTAGATTTTAGTGTCAAGACTCTATCGATTTCGAGAGCAAACAGGTATAGGTACTTCATTAGGCGAAAAGAAACCTAGTTTTTTTGCTCCTGATAAAGGAGACCTGAACCTTCTTGCCCTCGAAATCTATACAGTCGACACCAAACAGAAGGTTGATGCTTTGCTATATTTTCGTTAACATTTCGTATATTTATTCATTTATTTACTGTCGCTGCTCGCTGAAACGATCATTTCTTATAGTGACTATTCAGTTACGATGATCGATGCAAGAAGTTCCCTACTAATGAGAATATTGTTACGAAATGTACAGGCGCGGTGAGATAGCTTTCCCCGCAAAGTAGTTTTAGGGTTGCCATAGAATAACGAGGAACGCAGATTTGGCGAGAAATCGCCCATTTGGCGACATACCATGGACGGATGGAGAATTTTCTGGAACGAGTTCTTACCTGTTTAGCCCAGAATGTTCTCGAACACAAGCCGAAAGCTATATAAACCCTGCTGGTCCGCAGTATGTTAGTATCGAGAGGGCAAGTTACGAGTGTGTGCCTCATCTAGAGTGCGAGTTAGTTAGTATCGAGTTAATGTCTCGTCTAGCGAGTCAATCCTTGCGGAATCGATCGAGTTGACAGCCGAGCAGCGAGTACCGAGTGGGTCGTCGAGTACACCGAAGGAGTCTGTTAGTGTATCGCGGTTAGTGCATCGTCGAGAGAGCGTGTTGAGCTCCGGGAACGACTGAACCGAAGAGTCGGGAGCTGTACTCATGTGTCGTCGAGTGCATCTCGAGTTGTAGCGTGGAGAGTCTCGACAGTCCGAGAACGACCGAGCAGAGTCGGGAGCTGTGCTCTGGTACATTGCAGTGAAGCTGTCTCCAGCGTGATAGCCTGACAGTGTGAAGGCTGTGCCGCTGATCGTGTCAGCGTGTTTATAGTAGTTCATCGACGACTGTAAAACGTATTTTGGAGCTGTCCTGACAATACTGGCAAATAAAGTGCGTTTCGATACTTCATCAAGTGTCGTCGTTATTCACTCCAAATCCACACAAACCCCGTACGAACGTGAAGGAAGAAAATAACGTAACAACTGGTGTCAGAAGAATTAGAAAAAAACGCAACAATATATTAATAATGAAATACAATATAATCAAATGCAAATCTAAACATTCTCGCCTTAGCAGCAAAATATCATATTCCTGCAAAAATTTCACAGAACTTTCTTCGTTTGCAGACAGATCCCACAGACACATATTTAAAAATTCAGCTGAAGACTAAAAATCTGCCTTTAGAGCTTCTAACACAACCAAAACAGCATGTACCAAAATGGCGACATTGCTTATTCAAACTTACAGTTATCTGTATGGTTACCTGAAGAATTGTTATGCGCATGGCTGCCACAGTTTGGCGACTTATGAAATTTGTCGATTTCTATTAAGATAGTTGCGATAATACAAAAGTACCCCATACTATTTATTAGAACTTTTCTATTCAATTAAATTAAAACATTTTTACTAACTGCAAAAGGAGTTATTTATGATCGGGACTGTTTAACAAATTCTCCATATTTCAGGGTAAAAAAATTCTAACTTTTTTCATTTATGTCAGTTGTAGTTCGATTTCTTGAAGCGTTCACAATGTATTTAGAATTATTCGCCGCAGTACAAGTATTTCAGATTAATAACCGAGAGGAAATGGATTAGTTTAGTTTCCCCTCGAACTAGTTTTTTCCAATGATGAGTTGTAGATTTGCTAAATTTATCTCTAATTTGAGATATTCTTGTTCTTTTTGTTTGCTTGTTAATTTATCCTGACAAAAACACATACATATTATGCATGTCATTTTCGTACTTTGGCTTACATTGACCCTACCTCTGAATGTTACTCACTGAACTTCTTTCACGTTACTCTGAATAAGCTTTCAACTCGATGAACCAATATTCCCACAAGAAGATATTTTATGACTGCAGAATATATTTCAGGTTTAATGACAATATCTTTAACTAGAAATATTTAAAATAGTTTAATTTTAAGCCTCATTAAAAATCTTTCTGAAGAACACCCAGTTTACCCAGTACACACCTCGGCTTACCACAAGATTAACTGACGTAAAAGAATAAAACAATAAGGTGCGACAACTTCTGTCATAAATTGGGTCATAAAAATAAATTTATTCCTTATTTTGAGCAATTTTTTGATATACAGAGGCTGTTCGCACATTTCTTAGACGATTTTGGTAAGCGGTAGTAAAAATTCGTTTGCTGGAAAAGAAGTAATTGCAATTGTACTATGTTTTTAAAAGTCAAAATTATCGTCTGCGGCTTGAAAGTTTTGTTTTTATTCAAAATGGCGAATTTAACAAAGCAGTTGTTCGAAGGCTACATTTACACTCTTTCCGAAGAGAAATATGCATACTCCGTTCTCCAAAACCGATGTGAGAGTCATGGTTTTGTGATATCTAAAGCGTCGATAGGTAATATCATCAACAAGAAAGGAAAAAAAACGTCAAATTGGAGCCTCAAGTGGAACAAAAATTCCAAACAAGTATCCAAGGATAAAACGGATCATCTTCTAGACTAATTGCAAAGGTACCGTTGTTTAATGTTAAACGAAAATCCCCCTAGTCAAAGGAACAGTTGTAAAATCATTAAAATGCTCGGTGTCCACTGTAAACAAAATGATAAACGTTGATTTAAATCTTAAGAAAGCGAAAAAACGCAATGTGCATCGTCTTCTTCCAAAGCATATCGCTCAAAGCAGGACACGCTGCAGAATTTATATGAGAAACACTTATCCAAAGAAAATTGGAAATCAATTGTCACAATAGATGAAGCATGTGGGTGTATTTAAATGATTGTAACAAAAAAAAAAAAAAAAAAAAAAAAAAAAAAAGAGCCATTTATTATCATAAAAGAGGAGGAAAAAATTTAAGTACATGGTTCAAAGAATCGAAAGAAATTTTTTCTAAGGGATTCATGATCGTTGCTGATTTTTCTTATAATAGGAAGTTAAAAATAAAGAGATTGCAAAGAAATGTCACGATTAACTCCAAATACTATCAGGAACATATTTTATTGCCAATTTTTCTGAATGAAATACCATCGCTTTACCCACAGTGACATCAATCTGTGAGACTCCATCAGGACAAAGCTAGCAGTCACACATCAAAATCCGCTGTAAATTTCCTAAAAGAAATGGAACAAAAAACTGGTATCGAGGTCATACCCTTCACTGATATCCCTACTAAATCTACCGATGTGTCACCTATGGATTTTTGTGCTTTCGGACTTTTAAAAACTGCATTATCCAAACGTTGTCCCAAAACCCTAACAGGACTCTGGAAAGCTGTTCGGGAGGAACGGGATAGAATATCTCTTCTGCCACTTCAAAAGGCATTATTATCCTGGAAATTGCGGTGTCAAAAGATAGTTCAGAATAAGGGATGTCAAATAGAACATTTAAAACACAAGATTTTATGTAATTTAGTTTTGTGAATACAATATACATCGTCTAAAAAATGTGTGAACAGCCTCTTTATTATGTTTGTTTTATCTTTAAATTTTTTATTTCTTTCTTAAATATCCTTATGTTTATGCCCAATTACTTGTATTTCCTATTTTTGTAAAAGTTAAAGCATTTAAGTAGATTCTTACACTTTGTTTTTATAAAATAAAAATAGAAGCCCTACGTTAAAATTTCGAAAACTCACTACAAGTATTTTTCTTCTTAACAATAATTTTTTACATTAAAGTTTTCCCCTTACTCTTACATATATATCTCTTCAAATAATTTTCGGCTTTGTGTAGGGCTACAGAAAGGAGTTCTCAAGATGCAATTATCAAAGACATGAATGACTATTGAAATTATTGAATCATTTCTAATACTCGTATAAGCATCAGAGGAAACTTTATGCAAAAAATCATTGTTGAGGAGGAAAACAACCAGAGGTGAGTTTACAGAAAGCAGCTAACTGATGTTTACATTATGCTGTTATTAAAGCAGCACATATTTAAATTATTCTCAACATAAATAACTACTGTATTCTCTTGCAGCTATACTTTCTATATATCCATAGATGTTTAGCATGTCAAGTAGCAGCTTGTGTAAAGTATTTCTGCTCAACTGACTACTTTAAAACAATTAAAATTTAGATTCATGCTAATACCATTGCCAGCATATGATGACAAATATCAAAAACATGCTCATGAATATACACTTAACTTATAATACAAATATTATACACTATGCATGCTATACTCATGAAACATTAAGGTAAATAAATTCGTAAAGTAGATTTATAGTGGACAGCCTGGACTTGGAAATATCTAAATATAGAGGTAAATGCTAATTATCGCCACTAATTAGCCACCTTAGTTTTAAAAAGCTTTCTGTTTTTACTTTTAACTAAAAGTCTCCTAACGCACGAATATCCACAGAAAGACATTTATTCATACTGTAAATAACGCAAATTTAAACACTGGTTGCTAATAAATTATGCTGTTAACATTCTTCTTTTATTTCTAAATTTCCTTATTCTTTAAATCAGTAATCTATGAATGTTAATTTGCTGAACATCTTAAGCGATATACGAGCTCGATATAGAAACGAAATATAGTTTGCTTAAAAGAAAGAAAATGTTCATTTTTTATAGACATGAGATCTTAAATATCATTTAAGTAAGATTAATTCTGAAGTGGGTACCATCAGCTGTAGTTTATCCTTGTTATCTTCTCAATAAATACGAATAACTCAACATTTTATGACTTTGAGCATCAAAAAAACGTTTTCATGCATTAATTTATTATAACTTACCTTCACGGTTCCTTCCCAAAATGCTTTAAATCAAAGTCCTTTAACGACATGCTGTTGTTCATGTCGCATAGTCGTAAGACAAAAATATGGCATTCGTGTAAACAAGGAATCATTTAGCCTTGTGGGATATGTAGCGCCCTCTGTCGGCGTTTTAAAGAACAAAATTCAGTACATAATATTCGTTGAGTTTGTATTTTGAGAAATAAACTTATACAAGATTTTATATTAATAAAATATCAAAGTGATAATTGGGAAGTGAAAAAAAAAGTGAAATTTTTTAAAAGCTATAAACTAGGCGGAAATTTGAGATCATTTGTATTATTAAATATATAAATGTCAAGAAAATTAAAATTATTTTTGTTTCTCTCGCAATAATTGTGAAAAATAATGAGTCACAACAAATAAATTTTTATACTTAATCATTTTCACGCTTAGTTAAATGCAACTTTTGCATTTTTTGCGCTTCAAGAGGTCTTCAAGCTGTTTAGGAAAAGCATTATTTGAATGAGAAATTAGTAACTATTTTCGAATCGCTGTTTTATTTCTCTAAAAGTAATTTTTTTAAACTGTAGTTTCGCTCGTACGTCTCTTCATTGTTGTGCTTCAAACTGTAGTAAATATTTTTAGTATTCGTAAATTGAAATGTTTAATTAAAACATGAAATAAAGATAATAGCGTTAAGGCAGCTAATTACAGCTAAAAACTTGTTGAAAGTTAGACAACGAAATAATAATTAATATATTGCACAAAAACCTTTTTCTATGGAGAAGAAAGTATAATTACAAATTAAATTATGGGTGATTAAATGCAAAATTAGAGTTAAATACAAACAGTAATTTATCAAATTATAATAATAAACCTTAGAAGAGGTATAATGAGCTATACAGTTTAAAGCGAAATTTGCAATATTTTATAATCATGACAAGAGAGTATCAGAACTGCTAGCCTTATCAAATACTAATCATAGCACATCCTCAAAGTCAGGTTTCCTAAGCCACCTTACTTAGATAATAAATAAATAAGCAAATAAAAATGAAGACTGATAAAAACACTCAGAATTAAGTAGAATGACAAGTTATGAAAAGAAGTCACAATCTGAGTTATAGGCCGGCTTGGGAAAGCGTGAAATGAAAGAAATCCGAAAAGCACAAAATAAATAAAATACTAGTTAATTAAATAGAAATAACTGCCTAGGAAAATTAATTGTTCATTGAAAAATGATACTGAAAAGTCCCTAAATAAAAATTATGCTGAATTATGCCAAATCTCATCAACACCGTAAAACAACTAACAAACTTCAATTCGACGCCATGCGCTAGTCAGTAAAATATGCATAATCATAAAATGCAACAATCAGGATTAGTTGACTGTAATAAAACATACTAAAATTATTTGCTTGAGAATGAGGTTTCCTTACGGGAGGACTTTCTAAGGATAAGTGGCTTGTATTCGTTTTACACATGAGAAAATCACAAAAACTAAATACAATATCTAAAGCTTTAATGGCTGGAAAAATTCTTATCTGATTAATGGTACTTTCTCATACTGATATACAGACAAATAAAACCCCAGGAAACATTTGAAAGCAAACCCTAAAAAGTACTTGAAAATGACACAGTGAGAAAAAAGCAGATTAAACTTCCAGTAGAAGCAAGAGAATAATAAAAGAATAACTCTGACTTGTAATTTCCAGATGAATAATCAAAATATTAAGGTTTCGTAAAGGCAGCTGTAGGTTTTTCTGACACACAATGGAAATACTTAAGATAATTTTTTAAGTGTACATCTGATTCAAATTAAGTTTGGTAACTGAATATTCATCGATATTTACAATTAAATCAATCACTTTAAACTCCAATCTTTAATTTTCCTGTTATACTAATCTTATTGCACAGTTGTAAAAACAAATTCTCGTAGAAATTTCCCCAAGTGGGAATCATCTAGCATAGAAAGAACTTCTCGTTTAGAAGGAGCTATTTCAATTAATTTCAGCCTCTCTTGGAGGAATTTTTCTCTTTTGGAGGAATTTTTCTTTTGTGTGAAGATTTGCACAAGAAATTTAGTTGTGTCTTAAATAAATGTGCTAAACAGTTCAGTTGTTGTCGGAGTACTGTTATGTGAGGTTGTCATTGCATTATGTCAGAGTTAACAGACTTCGAACGTGGGCAAATTGTTGGAGCACGTATGGTAGGTGCTTCCGTAAGCAAGGTAGCCGAGGTGTTTAGTGTTTCAAGAGGTACTGTATCAAAGATTTATTCCGCATATTTGAAAAGCGGAAAAACATCATCTGCTAAATCACAGCGCGGACGAAAGTGTGTCCTGAGTGATCGTGACAGACGATTATAAGGGCAATTGTGACGAAAAATAAGACCACAGCTGCAAAAGTTACTGCTGAAATGAATGTTGTGTACCGAACCCTGTGAGTACCTAAACAATTAGAAGGGAGCTTCATAAACAGGGAATTGCTGTCCGTGCTGCAATTAAGAAGCCACTCATCAGTGATGCTAATGCCCGTAACAGGAAAAGGTGGTGTTTAAGTCATAAAGCCTGGACTATAGAGCAGTGGAAGCAAGTAATATGGTCTGACGAGTCTTCTTTCACATTGTTTCCCACTTCTGGCCGAGTTTACGTCTGGAAAACGCCATCTCGAGCCTATAATACAGACTGCTTGTTGCCAAGAGTGAAACATGGCGGGGGTTCCGTTATGGTTTGGGCAGACATTATCGTGGTTCTCTGCTAGCCCCATGATAACTGTGAAAGGGAACATGACTGCCAAGACTTATGTGAACATTTTGGCCGACCAAGTTCATCTCATGGTACAAACTTTGTTCCCCGATGGTGATGGTGTCTTCCAAGACGACAAAGCCCCTGTTCACACAGCTCACATTGTCCAGGACTGGTTTTCTGAGCACGAGGATGAGTTGTCCCATCTCCCCTGGCCACCACAGTCACCAGACCTGAATATTATCGAACCTTTGTGGTCTACATTGGAACGGAAAGTGCGTTCTCGTTATCCGCCGCCAACATCGTTATCTGAACTTGCCACCGTTTTGCAGGAAGAATGGTATAATATTCCCTTGGCAAACATACAGGAACTGTATTTTTCCATTCCGAGAAGACTGCAAGCTGTTTTGGATGCCAACGGGTTTCCTACACCATATTAAGCAAGGAAACATATTTTTTGAAAGGTGTTTCCATATTTTTGTCCAACTCCTGTAATATTCAATCGTAAATGTTCGTTCTGAAAACTCGTCTCTATCTTGAAGCAAACAAACAATTTTAGAGCTAGACTACAAATGCAAATTCAAATGAAGCTGTACTTGTAGCAATGTTGGGGCGACATCCACCAAACCATTTGCCATTAGTTTCCATTCTGGAATTTTAACAATTTTTGAAAGTTTGATGTGCGTAACTTTTGAATCACTCTATGTATCAGTCTATGTAAACTGTGTATGTATTTTGAATCTTAATATCTTACGTAAAATTTGGTTTCCTCTCTTCATAAATTATTTAGATTGTGATAAAACTGGTATTTTAAAAGTATTTTACGAACTGGATCTTAAAAAAAGATGAGAACCATTTGAATATTAAAAACTTCCAAAGGGTTAAAAAATCTTATATGAGCAGGTAATACTACTATGTATACTAAAATAAGTATACTAAAATTACTATTAGTTAATTCTATTAAAATTATTATTAGTTAACTGTGCTAAAATTATTATTAGTTAATTATACTAAAGTTAATTGGTTAATTATACTAAAATTACTATTAGTTAATTATACTAAAATTATTATTAGTTATACTAAAATTATTACAATTATGCATGCTAAAATTATCAATTCAAACAAAGCTCCTTTTTTGGAGATACTCTTTTCTTCATTACATAACTATGCAACCTAGAAATTAGGTTTCAAATTATTGGATTCAAAAGGGGTAAAGTCAAGTTTAACTATGTATTTCACCACACTGATTAGGACAATATACCTTCTGATTCCTAGCCTCCATATTATTAGCTATTTGATGAACCATAGCTATTTGATGAACCACAGGCGGCCATTTGATGAACCATAGTCATCGTGCTTTCCACTCGGGTGGCTTGCGCCACTACCCACCGGGACAGCATAGGCTGCTCTTTTGAGCAGAAGGAACCGGGTCCATGTATTTTATGTCTACAGAGCCGCGACTGTCACTGTAGAATATTAAGTCAGTATTTGCAAACCTAAGAGGGCGAGAGGGGGTAAAGAACATTTATTGCTTTTCAATGCACGTGATTTCTTTCGATTAAAGGATTTTTTTTGGGGGGGAAAGAATTAAGTATGCAGTACATCATTCTGTTAAGGCTCGGTGGCGCAGTGGCTAGCTCATCGCGCAACAGCACCGCAGGTCCGGGGTTCGATCCCCGGATTGGGCAAGGTCGACTCAGCCTATCATCCCTTGATTTCCATCATTTGGGTCGATGAAAATGAGTACCAAGTTCGCTTAGGGACTAAACGCTTGGGGTCCTGCGACAAGCTGACTACTTGTTCAGGCATATGCTTACGCACCTCGGGGCGCACGGTCAAGGAAGCAGATTTCGAGGCACTGCAGGCATTGGCCCGTTAGGTCTGTTACGCCACTGAGTTTTTTTTTTTTTTTTTTTTAGTCCAAAGGGATTTGAATCCCGAAAGACTATTAGTTTCGTTTTGGCATTTTGCGTCGGACTCATAAATGTCGGTTCACTTTTCAAACTGTTGCCACAAAATGTTAGAGTCCTGCATTATATTTGAAGAAATTAAACAATGAAAAATCTGCATAAATGTATGTATATTTCTCGTATTGTGATAAAACAACGGTACATAGAGTCATCGAATTTTGAATAACGTAATCCTCCAACGAATATGAGCATGTGGAAGACCAAATTTGAAATTTGAAATTTGTTTTATGATCGATTTCCTATTTTTTAAAAATTTTGACGAATTTTTGATTAACAAACTCAAGGATTTCAAAGCGAGCAATGGCAACGTTGTGCAGAAAAAACATTTTTATCTCCAGCGCGTGAGTCTCTGTATCGGAAATTCTAAAGATATGCTCGTTTTAAAACTATTTTGCATTATTG